GTGTGTCTGTACCTCTATCCTGATCCCAGAGGAGGGAATTACAGTGTCCATTGAAAAGCAACATCATGGGAGAGGGCAAGTCATTGTATACTGTATTAGGCAACTAAAATTGCTGCTCACAGTGAGGTTATTATACAAGCTTATAGCCAAAATCTCCTTTCACCTTAAAGCAATAATTGCCACTTTTTGCAACCATGAGAGGTGAAGCAACTATGGAACAGGTTTCTTGATTTGCAGGTGCTGTACCTGGATAGAATCCTTACCATTGGGTTAAAGAGAACAGAATTATTTTTTATAGCATAGATATCACAGGTTTTCACATTTATAAGACAACAGTGCCTTGCTGGGATCCGAGCTACACTGAGTGAACTCTACCCAAAACCAAAGTCGGAGATCTTTACCCAGTAAGCTCAAAATTTAGTATGGATCAGAGAATACGTGGGTGAAGGGAAGAGCCATATGACAGGTCTGAGGCTCACACTGGTTCAATACCTATGTTTTACATCCAGTCTGGGACACAGACAAAAACCAAACCCTCATCACCTGAGTGTCAACCTAACGCTGTAACCTGCCTGGTGCCAGAGTGCCTGCCGCTCTGCGGCACAAAACCGAAGCCCATCCCTGCCCCAAACCGCAGCCAGAGCCTGGCAGGGTGCAGGGAGCGTGGCTGGGGCAGGAGGAGCAGGGACAACCTGGTGGGATGGAAACTGATGGGGAAGGTCACAGCCAAGCCCAGGAACATGCCCAGCTGCCTGTCAGAGAGACGCATTTTGTATTATTGACTCAAAGGAGGGGTTCTCCAGGGATCCGTGTTACAAAACTGCATGGTTTTGATGTGTAGGTGCCCCCTCTTTTATGGAGGCTCTCTGGCTGCTGTGGCTGGAGAGGGTTTATGCTGGCAATCAATCACATGCATTTTCATCTCTGAAATGGAACAGCCTGTACTGAGTGTGAGGGATTTAATTTTAAAAAACCTGAGGCAAGACCATTCAGAAATACCACCATAAATGGGATTAGCCCTATTCCCTCCTGCCTGTTCCTCCATTATCAAATAAAGATCTTTATTATGTCTTTTTGTCTCAAAAAAACGAGAATCCTCCTTCCTCCTGAAGAAATGAAATGCAAGAAATATACTTTTGTGGTCACAGATTGTACCTTTGGTGATTGGTACTGAGTTCAGCCTCCTGCTAGCACTAAACAAACACTATATGGCAACCGGAATTTCCCACACAGGTAAAGCATTTCATATGTCCCTGGTACTAATGCAATTTTTTTTTTTTTTTTTTCTTCTGGCATCACTAACAGAGGGCCCACTTAGGAGATGTACTAACATATCTCCATTTTCATACAGCAGATACAAGGTCTGAAATAAAAAATCTTGAGAGTGAGCTGGAATTATTTCTGCCTCAGGTCCAGAAAATTTTTAATATGAAGATAAAGTTCAGTATTAGATCCTGCCCTTTTCTAAAAGCAGTATTTGATATTATCACTGTAAGGAGAGAGAAAATAAGAAAAGAGAGCTCCAAAAGGATGCCTTAGATTTGCTCAGCATGTACAACACTTGTGGTCAAACAGTACTCTTGGGACACTCTGCTAGATGACCTTAAAACAGAAAATACTTCCTTTTAGGTTATTCCAGGAAGGGACAGAGGCTGCCTCGTCTCTCCCCTTCCCCGTCTCCTGCAATAATACCAGCTCTTGTTTTCCTCTGCTTCCTCCTCCTTTCGATGTCTCACCCACCTGCCTTGGCTCTGGGCAAGGGGTGGGGACTCACCACATCTCAGAAATGCCTTGCAACAGATTATTTCTCAAGAAGCATCTACATCTTTTCATGTTTGTTTTCAGGCCACTTCAGAATGAAAGAATACATATTTCAAATATATTAGCAGTAGAAATTGTCTCTTCTTAATTTTGGAAAACTTTTTTTTTTTTTTTCCAATTTGGTTTAGAATTTTATATCTTATTTATCCTGGTTTTTGTAAGAGTAGTTCACAATATTTTGACCAATATCAACATGTGAAATAAAGCAGCTGAAATAGTTATTTTATTTTTAAAACTATTCTGACAGTGAGTGGCTGGCACTTATAATTTCCTTTACTAGACAACCATATCTCCTAGACACACTGGTAATGGCACAGCTTGACATAATTCCACATGTTGTTAATAACAGTGATACACAGTGATAGGAAGTGATGTAAAAATAAACAGTAAATACAGCTCTGAAACCAACTTTGAGAAGTTTTTCAATTCACAGTTATTTCCCTCGTGGGAATTTATGTAAAAATAATTATTTTTTCATACTCAGTGTCTGTTGTGGTAAGACATTTCCTATCTGATCTGAATGGGAGTCCCTGAAGGTGGCCAAGCTTTATGTCTGTAGAGCCAGTCTTGGGCTACCTTCTCCATAGGGAACTGCTACCCCTGCCAAGCTCTGCCTGGAGCCCAGCTGCACAAAATCCAGCTGCCTGGAGAGCAGGCTGTCCTTAGCAGCAAGAAGGAAAACCCGATGGAGCTTTCCAAAATCCCTGGCTCAATTTATATCCTTCCTCTTCCTCTCACAGTGCCCCTAGGCTGGGCTTATGAAGACAAAGGTGCAACAATGACTGCTCTTGCCATCGACTGGAAGCACACATCTTGGGATAAGGTTATTTGTGTAGATGAGTTCTCTGTTCCCTATTTCTTTTTGTTTCACAGATAGTACTTGCCCATCTCAAGGTACAAAGCTCCAGTGCCGAGTTAAGCCCCCATGGGATCAAACCAGCAAGAAGAGATACTTCACATTTATCAGCCACCACCAAGGCATGGTCCTTATTTCTTCCCACACACTCCCTAAACCAAAGGTGTCCCCATTGCTCTCTATTTCACCAATGTTCACTGCAGGTTAAACCTCAGTGTAAAAGATCTCAGGTGTCTTTTCCACTTAAACACTACTGCTGCTTACCTAAGAGTTGCACTTCCCCACTTTGGCTTGAAGAGCTTCATTAAGGCTTTGCTAAGTTTGCCTGCATCGCAGCCTATGTGGAAACAGCCATGTCTTGCTGGGGAGAAACAGCAAAATACTACTGGTTCTCATGGGAAAAATCCTGATCCCAGTTTCAACAGTTGATGCCTGAGGTAATTAATTCCCTCCCATGAAAGTCATATCATGAGCATGGCTTTTCAGTAAGGCTGTCATCCACCTTTGGTTTTGGAATAGAAATTTGGTCTTTCCATGAGCAGTACTGTTCCTCCAAGATGAATGCATGGGATATTCCCCGCAGAAGAGCTTTTCCTGCTCTCAGGCAGAACAGTCCTACAGACTTCTCCAAATACAAAGGCTTATAAACTGTTGGATTAAAATAGCACTCCAACTCTGGCATTTACTTCAGTGAAATGTTTGCAAGGAGCAATCATAGCCCTTTCAGCTTTTGGGCTGCAAAGCAAAAGAAAAATAAAAGGGGAGGAAAGAATGCTCTTTTAGCTTCCTGTTATGGAAGCTCCTTATTCCCCGATCACCCCAACTTCGTTTATACTTCTCTGAACTTCCTCCAGTTTGAATTCATTGGTTTTGAACTGGTGATCAAAAGTGCATAAAATTATTTTGCCCCATAAAGTATGGGGCTTATACCTAGGAAGATCTGAGTTTCTTAAACACTTGGTCAAAGCGGGGGCTGAACACTTCTCTGCTAAAACCCAGATACAGGGCCTGGCAAAACACAAAATTTTCCTCATATAGCAACACAATGTTTTTGATAATCAGAACAGCTGCAGCTTTACAAGTGGGGATGCTCTGGGTAGACAGCAGCTCACAGACAAGCCTGTGCTCCCTCATGTACGAAGCCAAGATGGAGAAAGAGACCTTGGGCTGGCAGAGATCCTTGCCTGGGAGCAGTCACAACCTCGTCTCCTGGGACTATCAGAGCAGCAAATGGATGCCCCTGTCTTAGCACCAGGGCTTGCAGTCTGCCCTGTGCAAGGAAGGGGAAACAGCAGCACAATTGCAAAAATAAACCCTTGGGGAAAAAACTGTTCAGTCTTCTGAGCTCAGAGAGGACGGGAAAAAAAAATAATTTCACGTCAAAGCATGTGTAGGGCAGTAATCTCTGCATTCATCAAATACAATGAGGAACACCCTGGAAAGGAAAGGCTAGAGACTTCCCTTCTTCACAGTGTCTGTGGACCTGGATCCCTGACCAGAGATTGCACCCTGGGCCTGGAGGTGAAGAGATAAAACACGAGACTCAGTTCAGCGGCTCCTGCTGCAAGGCCTGATGAAGATGCACCCTAAGAGGCTGTAGAAAGCTGGCCCAGTTTAAGGGTACACTAGTAGCCCATCTGCTGGACCTCTTCCAAGCATTCATCTCTTCAGGGATTTCTGCTGCAAAGTCCCTTGAGGATCATGCTGCAGAGCAGGGCTGCTTCCTATCTCCACAGCTGTTTATTTGGGTCCCACATGGAGCTCACAGGAAGGGAATTATGTAGGCTCTGGTTTCCCCTCTAGAGTTAGTGTTCCCCTCAGCAGCTTTTGGGGTGCTCTCAGGCTGCATCTCTGTACTTCGTTCTTCTTCCTACCTCTCACTGAAGGGAATATCTGGGCCATTGCCATCAAGCCATTTCATCATCAAAAGACTGCATCAGACCTTTACACTAACTTGCTTCTAGCATATTTTATAAACTGCTTGAGAGGGGACTGTGCATTGCTTATCCACCCACTCCCCCAAAAGATCCTTGTAGAAAAACCACCAAAACTCAACTTCCCCAAGCCAGTCATGTGCCATGACAGAGCACAAACTCTGCTGCCTGTTCTGCTGCGGATGTACCTCCACTGACTGGCACACAGTCCACAGCACTCCTCCAAGGTAGTACAAAATGCAGAAAAAGTAAAGAAAGTGTGTCTTGCCCCACCCGCTCTTCAGGTGTAATACATACACCCCAACATGATCTCAAGAGCTCACACGCATGCTGTATTTACATTCCTTAGTTTTTTACCCATGACAATGGCATTACCAGACCACACTCACCTCTCAATTTCTTCTTTCCAAATTGTAATCCAAATAGAGACATCCCAAAACTTTATTTTAGTCCAACTCCATGGAACTTCTGCAAAAGAAAAGAGAAGGCAATTCACAATGGGGGTTTCTAGTCCCACAGCATGACATGCTGCAGGACGTATGTAATTCTGTACCCATAAAATGGGAGAACCAAACTCCTTAAGCACCGTGGTCAACAGCTACAGTTTTTAGCAAAACCATCTCAGGTTTGCAAGTTGCACTGCATCAGTGTGGGCTATCTTACCTTGGACTTTTTGATCTCTTCATCTCCTGACATAGCACAAAGAAGGGGCTGGTGGTAGAGAGACTGAAAAGGACATTCATACTACTTTGGCCCTATGTGAAAAGGAGAAATACATGTCCAGGGTTTGTACTTAAGGTACAGAGGAACTGTGTGACTACCCAGAGCAAGACCAGCCTCCCTGAAGAGGAGGAAGCAGCGGGAAATAAAAAAAAAATGGTTTCCTGTACATCTGCCTGTCCTCAACATGTGCTGGCTCACACTGTTGTCCATTTGCTAGTCACACTCTGTGTTTGGGTTGGACTAGCCTGTGAGGCTCTGAGGAAAATTTTTCCCCTGCTGGCTACAGCTTCTGGCCCAGAAGTCAAAAGCCAGGCACCAGAAATGCATTTAAGGCACTGAATATACCCTGACACGCAGAAGAATTGAGCATTAAACAAAATCACATAAAAACCTGTTGGTAATAAAACTTTTGGTGTTAGACAGTTTATTTAAAGGATGTGATGTTGGTGCTGACAGCCTGAGAAGATCCATGAGCATGGGAAAAGTTGGCGCTGCCTAGCACACCTGGCTGATCGGGAGCCTGAATCAACAGTAATGGTGTACCAGTTGCTTAACTGGCCAGTGGAACCAAGCTGAGGCATTTGAGGGAATCGTAATCTATCTAGAACAAGTTTTCTAGGTGACAGAATGAAGTTTTTGCACTTTATTCTATGCTATCTGTGCAGAGCAAGGGCGTCTAAGGAGACAAGTATAGCAAATACTTCATATTTTGGAAACACGCAAATGCAAATACAGTCCATGCCACTGCCCAAATTCAAGACTCATACATCAGGACCGTGCCCAGTGCAAGCTTAGGCTTCACATCTTTTCAGAAAAGGAAGGTAAACTTTAAGGAAAACTCTATAATCATTGCATAGGTCAAATATTTGTGTGTAGATCTCTATTCTAGATGCTAAAGCAAAGCTATATTTAGCAGTGCAATTCAACGAGCCTGAGATAAGGCAAACAGCAGCAGGTAAGCTCCAGCCAGCCAGCTAAGTGCTGCACACCCTGAGCACGACGCAGCCCTGGCATGGTGCTCCCTGACGCTTACTGTGGCCTACTGTGCTTGAAAGAGATCCTTTTCCTATTCACTCATGTAAATCCAGTAGTTTCTTCTCATCAGCACAAATGCTTTGGCAACACCTCTCCCCAGAATTTCCTCTGTCCATGGAGCTAAACCACTTAAGGTTACAATACTCAATGTCACAACCTAAAGCTTTCTCAATCCTGCTGACCAACCTTACTTTCCATCCCTAACTGACCTCAGTCTATCATTTTCAACATATTTCTTCCATGGTTTAGAATTGCTATTATGTCTTACAAAACCCTCATAACTGGGACTGAGAGCTCCCCATAAGATGGGAGGAGCGAAGACATGCTACCCGCACACCCGGAGGTAAAGACATCAGATTTCCTAGAGCACCAGGAGCCACTGCTCTGATTATCACTGTCCACTGGCAGCACAAGGACGCAAAAAGTTAGCTGGTTGTAATCATCATATGAGTATATTGCTGAACTCTGGATTTTTCTGTATTTGCCAAATGTTTTAGAATAACTATCCACAGCTACCAAACCTCTCCCAGCTGTGTACTCAATTGACAAGGCATATAATTTCAGCAGAGGGAAAAAAATGGTTGTTTATGTTTGTGGGGGAGTAGAGAAGAGAGGGTAGTTGTAAGACTTCTTTCAGCAGTAATAACACGAAACAAACAATAGAGTTAAGATCCGCGTCTCTCAAACAAAAACCTTAAACTTCCTTCAGCTCTGACACATGGCTTTTGTTAATTACTGTGATTCTTTAATCACTGGTTTCTGGTGTGACTGCACTATGAAAACAAGACTGCAGCAATACATTATTTTGGCATGGAGGGCATCTTTGCTTCCTTCAGCTTCTCAGTGCATTTGATTAGGAGCGCATTCACTGAACATCTTAATTCAGCAGCAAACTTAAATTACCATCATGGCCAGCACAAATATCCCTACAGGCTCACCACTTGCATAAAATTTTGCCTTTTAGGGCAGGCACGGGTGATAACTTTGCCATATCTATTTGCACCAATTACCTCTCTGGTACGTCATTTCTATCACACGGATTTAGCATAGCTGCTTACTTAGTTAAAGCCCAGGAGTTACGAATCCTTCCCAAGCTGACCTGATCCTTTATGCAAAACTCAGTTCCTGGCTTGCCCAAACCACAATGCCATTTGAGAATGTGTCGGTATTCAATGGGCACACACACGATAGCATTAAGGGCTTGACACACCCCTATTACACTGAGGTGTACCCTTTATTTTCGTAATATTGCAAATACCTTCCTTTGCTGCTTTGTTATTGACTCACACATCTAATCCTTGCACTCCTTTACCTAGTGAGCCACTCTCATGCTGGCTATAGCTTCCATGTGTGCCTGCCTGCTCACATCCCCGTTTGTACCAGTACACCTTCACATTCCCAGGTGTCTGTTTTCAGTCTGAGAGTTCACCGACCATCAGCGGCAAGCATGGAAAAAAAAAAAAAAAAACCAAACGTAAGCAGATGATGGCAGAGTTGTCGCCTTTGGTGGTGCTCCCATTTGTGTTAGCTATCACAACTTCCACAGCCAGATGTGGTCTCTTGGCTGACCTTAGCTCTGCTTGCCTTTCAGTCCCATGTATTTTTCTTGGGCTATTCTGGACTTTCATTCCTACCTGCAGGGTCCAAGATCTTTGCAGCTGTACCTATCAACAGTGTTACTCGGAGTATTTTTTTTCCTAGATTCCACTTGTAATCAAAATTCATGCCTCTGTTCAGTTTTCTTTACATACCTCCCTATTTTTTAAATCTGAGATTCAGTTTCCCTTCCAAAATTGCAGCAATGGGTCTTCAGCCTCACATCACTCGGATACACTGCTACAGCTTTAATTTCCCTTTGTGCTTTCTGGAAAAAATGATCTCTCTCATGTTTCATTTTCATGTGGCATGAAGTAGTTCTCAAATTTTGGTAAGGCACTTTCACAGCCTCCTATTCCTGAATTAATTGAAAACCCATAAAACACATGAAACTTTCTATAGTCAGAGAAAAGACAATTTCCTGTTTGCCTTCATTTTCCCTGGCACCAGCTATTTTCAGGGACAAAGTGAAGTACTGCTTCAACCTCCTCAAGTTGCCTTCCACAGTCTGGGTCAGCCCTTCTGGACTTTTTTATGTTGTTCCATTTTCCACTCAATTATTCTGTGGTTTGTTTTGTTTTGTTTTTTTCTTCTTTCATTTCTGTTTACTCCAGGTACCCTGCATTGTTCAGTAATCAACAGGGGCTCACAGTATTTGACTAACCACGCAGCGCCAATTCCTCTGCTTAACAGGACACATGTTACTTCCCCATGTTTCAAAAGCCTATAGCAAAAATTATTTAAAGCTCAAATTCCCAGTTCCTCATTTATGGGGTTTTGGGGGGAATAAGCTATGAATAGATTATTCCCTTCTCACTCTAAAAGGCTTTTGTACCTACAGTGCTCTACAAACTGTCTAGCTATGGCTTACACTTCTGCAAAGACAATCCACCTGCTTTATGGTTACTGACAGTTTAATCATGGGCTCTGAGCACTTGAATATACACAGCAAGAAGCTACTTTGATGGGTCTTGAATAGGGAAGGGATGCTTTCCTGCAAACCAAGCTCAGCCTTATATCAGAGAGACAAGACAGATTTGGCTTGAAAACACAGCTACAAAGCTCCTCCTGAAGGAGGGGCAGGTTGCAAGGAGCTACAGCACATGGAATTTGCCAAAACTACGTCTGGCTAAGGGCTGTACTGCAAACTGGAGGTGGAGGGAGGCACTTCCCAGCACCATAGTCATGAGTAGCAAAAGGAGAAAAGACATGGCACAGCTCAGATGAATGGGGAGCAAAGGCTGGAGGTGGAAAACATAGCCAGTTTCTTGGCCCTGTTTCTGTGGCTATAGCTACACAATACACTAGATTCAGTGATAAATATGAATTAGAAAACACTTGATGCTTCTGCTCCCATCACCTTGTTCCCAGACCCTGTGAAACAATCCATGTTAAATGCAGTCATTATTTGAAGGATTATTTTAATTCAGACCATGGAGTATATACTTCACTACAGACCAAAATTCCTGCCCAAGCAGTGGTTGTAGCATATCTGAGGATGCAGCTAATTGTGGTGTAATACTAGAAGCAAGCACCCAGAATCCAGGAGAATCAGGCAGGAGTCTCCAGTCAGTTTTGCCACCAAGCATAGTGTGGTATGTATACATCCTCTAAAAACCCTAAATAGCCCTGTCCAGGTAAAAATTCAGAAAGCATACCATGCCTCCACTCTCCAGTTTTCCACATCAGGTCAGTTTTTATACATGAGCAAGGTTTATAAGTTATCTTTTTTTAATCTATGTTCAGGTGATGTAACAATCAGAAATACCCACAGGTCTTAGAACTTTTTGTTTCTTTCTTTTTTTTTCTTTTTTTCCCCAGGCAAAAGTACTAAATATCCAACTAATAGATCTGAATATGAAAAAGTAGATCCCAAACCCTAGGCATCATGACAGACATAGCTCAAGACTGCCTGTGCTGCCTAGTACAATTCATGGAGTAACGCTGTTAAATACCATGAGATTTACCAATTCTAATCTCCTAGATTTTGAAGACATATCACTTTAAACTGGATTTGAAGGCACAAAGGGGAAAATATTAAAGGTTGAAAATACTTTAGGTCCTCAAACACCCTGTTTTCTCCATGGCTTAGTTGCACGCATGCTAAGGGGGTGCACATGTCAAGTGCTAAAGCAGGAGAGACACGTTCACTCCCAAGTATCGCAGACAAGGACATTATAGCTAGTGCAATACTTGCTATTTCTCTGGCAAGAGCAATGTAAAGGTCTGGCACACATGGCATGGACTGACCTTGTAATGTGCCATGCAAAGGCAAGTTTGCGAAGGACCCCCTTTACACTTCTGGTGTAGTAACTATTTCAGTCAAATTGCTCAATTTTTGGTTCCAAAGAGTACGATGCATTTGCTTTTCCCTATTGAAAGCAAACACAATAATTTCAGCCATTAGAAATAATTATTACTAATCATCTTTTAACACTGAAATACATTAGCATTTGTATTTTTCCACCCCTCCTTACAGCCTCTTGTATTTGAACACCTCAAGAGCAAAACAGGGAGCAGCATGTGTTGCACCACTCCCTGTCTTGCAAGTAGGAAACATAGAAAGTGAGCTGTAGGATGGACAACTGAAACATGTTTTTAATCCCAGAATAACACTTTTTCGGGGCTGAAACTGGATTTGCGTGAATTCAACCTGGAATAAGTTTAAGAAGCTATAAATGGTCATTCTTGGCATCGGGGTTTACAAAAGGAGTGGTGACTGGTTTAAATCTACTAGCTCAGTGCAAAGAGTTTTAAAGTAACCTTGAAACCTTCCCAGCTTTCTAAATACCTGAAGAGGTATCCTGGATGAAGTGAGCTAGCCCTCCAGCTATTTTTTGGTACTGTTGCAAGCTATATATACAGAAATACATGAAACTGTGTGCTCTTACCCCCTACACTCAAATGTGCCAATGCAATTAGCTATAATTGCTGGGAAACAGACTCAGTCTGTTATCTGCCACGTTTTAAAGTAATGATCCAATATCCTCCATCTGTCTTCATTAAAGCACTCCTTAAACTGACACCAGAATGGCAGTCAAAAATTTGCATTCAGCTCCTTTGGGTAAGTTAGTTGCAATGCTCAAGTTACCGATCAACAGCTGAGGCTGAGCGAGTTCCCAAACAGAAATGCAGGCTGCAGTCTGCTCCCTCCGAAACAATGCGAACAATAGCAGCTTCCCGGGGCGGCTGCTGCTGCTTGAAATCATGCACAGCTCAGCTCACTCCACCCAGAAGTCTATCAGCCCGCTCGCAGAAAAAGCTCAACCCCAAGCCCTTTGATTAATCTTTGCAAAGCTCTCGGATCTGGAAAAAAAAAAAAAAAAAAAAAAAAAGCAAGTTTTCTGCCTCGAAAAACTGAGAGGGAAAACAAGCAGAAGGAAAGCATTAAATCTTACCCTTGAAGGCTTGTAAAAGTCACAGCAACAAAGTTGTTACCCTCCATAGCACTCCGGTACACTCCTCTCTTCTCATTTACACACAATTTTATCCCCTCCCAAGACCAACAGCTTCGCTCGTAGTCGCAGTGCCAGGACATTCATCTAAGAAAGCAAAGCTTCTTTGCGCTGTGAAACGGGCATCGCGTGCTTGTCTCCGAGCCCCTTAATATCCACCGCAGACGCACTCTGCCATGCAATGTCCTGGTAACTAAACTTACTCCAAGTTCCCTACTTCTTACTTCAGTCACTACACTTGGCTCCTTGCCAAATTCTTCCTTTTTTTCTTTTCTTTTTTTTTTTTTTTTTTTTTTTTTTTTAAATTCTGTTTCCTGCAGATAGGGAGAGTGTAGTAACTCCCTTAAAAATAAAAAGCTTCAGCACAACAAGCTGCAAAAGAGTAAAGCAGAAAAGCAGAGAGAGCACCTAGGCTTGGGGCACCCCAATTCATTCCAAAGGCAACTGCTGCTCACCTTACCTACCTCCTGCCGACACGGAAGCTTTCAAAAGGAAACCAAGCGAGTAAAAGAGTCCAACATATCAAATTGCTTTAAAAAAGGATGAACTTGGTAAGGGATCCATTTCCCAGCAGCAGCCCCTCTCTCTGCATCCGTAATGCTGGAGTTGGTCAGGACTCCTTAAACTCAGAGGCACTGTCCCACAAGCTGATCCCAAGGCTCCACCTCACCCGCTTTCCAATAGCTGTGAGTAGCAAAAACTCTGCAAAGAAAAAGCTCATAGAGCACAATTGCATAACTCAACCACAGAGTTTCCTCCAGCCAGCCAGAGGATCACTTCGATGCCGAAACGTCAGGGCTTGCTCATCCCTGAGAGCATGACCTTCCCTTGGCCTCTGGGACACCCTCCTGGCCTTACCGCTGTCGAGGGGACTCTCCTCACCAAAACCCCTCAGCGCTCTCATGAGCCTTCTGACCTTCCCACTCATTCTCCCACCTTCAACAAAACAAACATTAACTTTTTTTTCCAAATTGTGGGACAGTCCGCAATACAGTGCCTTCCTACATGCCAGTCCCCTTGCATTTTACCTGCCAGGCGCACTACAAGACTAAAACTTGGCCAATTACAACTTTAATCCACCTCTTCCTTCCCTATACCTGTGAATTGCAATTATTCTAAGATCACCATATTCTTTCCCTAAATTGTGTTGATAGTAATACCTGACAGGAACATGCCAATTTATTGCAGACAGCAAGAGAAAGTTCAAAGTAAAAGATTTCTATATGTATTTTTCTGTGGTTTTTTCCTTATTCTTCTGTGTTTTCCCACTGGATTTATGTAAAGACTGTTAGAATTAATTTCAAACCTACCCACAAACACTTGAACGCATTAATCCGCTGATTAATTAGAGTAACATGAGAGTCAAAGCTTTGCCAAAGAGTATTTTCTATAAGGTGAAATTTTCAAAAGTCCTGTCAAGAAGAAGCTATGGAGGACACTGGGTGCTGCAATGGCAGCACTCCAGTGTCCATGAGGTTGAAGTGCAGAGTGGCAATGAAGAGGACCCAACAGCACCATAATCAATTTCTGAAGGAAGAACAAGAGCCTGTGCCCCTTTGCAACGACTCTAAGGTTGTTCTTCCAAGCTACACATATTTGAGACAACGTTCATTGAATTGGCTTCCAAATTCCAACACAAAGGATCCATACAAACAGCCAACACAGGACTTGTCATTCAGGTCTAATCTCCTGAAGACCCAGGTAATTTTTAGATGATTTTGAACTGAAAAGGTCTAACCTGAGAAGGACTTTCCCCTGCACTAGCCATTTCTCACGTTCTCACCACCCACACCCCATGTCAACAGCAACAGCCACAAGTATCACATTTTTTCCTGCAACTGAAAGTACAAGGATGTGGATTAATTTTGGTCCTTCTACATATTTGGAGAACCCCTTGTTCTTGCTTCATTCTGGAGTTCTCTTCATTCTTAGAACTTTCTTCTGCTTCACCTCCCCCTTTTAATATTTTATCCAATTCATTCCACAGCACTCCCACTTTCTTAGCTGCTGTCTTTATACTTGCTTGCTACCTCTTTGACCTCAGCCACAGCCATTTCTTCATTCCTAGACTTAGGTTCATCTCCTTCTTTTGACATGAGGGTGGACCCAACCACAAAATCATCTGGCCATGGGGCTTGTTTGGACTAAAATAGCTAAAAATTGGGTAGGCTGTTCTGTTAATGATTTTTATTGGCACTGAAATCCACCTCACATAGATTGGCAATGACTTTTTCCCTCATCTGTGCTTTCCCCTTGGACTTAGTGAACCTGCTCATGTAGGGAAGCTCAGCACATGTGGGAGCACTTGGCAGAGCAGGAGTGACTCAGCGTTATGAACTTAACTCTGAAGTCTCTTGTCCTTGCCTTACACTTTGGTCCCTGGGTAGCACTGCCCCAATAACCACACCACTCACTTCCTCCTTTGCAAATTTCTGATCACATCAGGGAAGGCTGCAGCCTGCAATGTCAGTTGTATAAATATCAGTGCCTGCATAAAGGGTGTACTTGTATGCTGGGTGTCTGAACTCCCACTGCAGCCAGCATGGTTTGGGCAGAGGTTCAGCTGATCAGCTGCAGCAAGGCAGCAGTGAGTTTGCTGTGACCCATAGCTGTGGGAAGAAGTTCAGTCTGTTGCTTTTCCAGTAAATGAGCTGTTTTTTTGGCCAGGCAGCTACCTCCAAACCATGGTGCTTCACCTTTGTACCCTCCACTTTTCCACTAGTCACAAAGGGCTAGCTTCGAGTGGGATGGATTTAAATTCATGCCATTAGGACCTTATCCTAGGGCTGTATCTGGGAGAATGACCTTCAGTCATTCAGCCTGTGTTGCCTTTCAACAATGATCAAGATACAAAACTGAAGACTTACTGACAGTGATGCTTTCCCAACTATCCTATATAGTTCAAAAGGAGCACTGATGATCTTAGCTTTCCCTTACCATCTTTTAACTGCAGTTTGCAACTCCTGAACTGCAAGGTTTGAAGCTTGTCCTGCTCTAACACGGCCGGTACCAATCACTGCAGAGAAGTGGCTGTGTCTGGTGCAATGTCCAGGGCTCATTTCCTCCCAGACAACTTCATCTGCAGCTCCCAAAACAACACAAGTGCATTTCTCATACTAACCGTGGGAGTCACAACTCCAGAAAAGCCTTTCTGTGTGGTGCTAAGGGTTTCCTCACAAACCCCCAAGGCTCAGCCCTAGATGACTGAATCTCCTCCCATAGCCTATGATTTCCTCATCCCAACTTTTCTTTTTCTTGACTAGTCCTGGCTGGTGAGAAGCTCCTTGTCCTGGCCAGTGAGGAGCCCCTTGTGTAGAGAAACAATAAGGAGCATACTTCACTTTGGGGACCACTCACACGTCTGTTCTTATGAGCACCTGCTGTGGCTACAAGGGGTCAGATGGGCATCTTGTCCCAACTGCCCTTGCTTTGACAGAATTTCTTCATTCTCTTGCTGTCAAAAATCAGTGTATGATACATAAGAAACACAGGACTGAAAGGAACAGACTGGGACATTGATGCCCATCCCTTGAATATCAGAGAGCTGCTTAAAAAATAGTGTAGGAGGAACATCCAACTTGCAAATTTCTGTATTCTAGGAAACAGCAGCACAATCATAAAGTGAATAATGAAAGACCAAAGGTCCCAAAATATATTGTATCACAGGTGAGGAAAGATGATTTGTACTGGCAAGTGTCCTTGATCCCTGCAGAGGATGTGGCAAGTGAAACTGTCCAACTGGTAGCACAAATGACACCATGACACTGCAGAGGAAGGGAGAAATAAATCCCATGTTTCTGTTACCGTGACCAGACTGTGGGAAGAAAGTGAAATGGACACAAGAAGGCAATGTCATGAAGTGACCAGATGCTCTAGGACTGCCCTCGCCTGTTGGGAGCTACTCAGCCAAATCAATTTAACTGCTCCTCCAAGGAACTGATAAACTGGTAGAAATCCAAAGTAACTCAATTTGAAGGGACGCCCTGGATTCCTACACATGTGCATCCATCTCCCGGGGTATGATCTGAAGTGTGCAGCTTCAGCACTGCCAGTTTGTACAGAAATACTCCCATACCTCACCAGCAGCTGGGAGCCAATATAGTGCTGTAAGGTACATGCCAAATGGAAGTGGTCAGAAAATAGTTTCAGTGGGTGTGTGCAGCATAACATGACTCATACTGATCAGGATGCGGTGGAATGCCACTTACCTGCACCAGGGAAGAAAAGGTGCGTGGCTAGAAATTCCCTTTCTCCATCAGAGTGTCCTGCCTGGTACTCCAGGCCCTTAACAAACAATGATCAGCTGGGGAAAATCGTAAGAAAGCCACAAAGGCACAGCCTCTTGCCTTTAAAAAGAAAGCAGCAATTTGCTGTGGTGACTATTGATCTCATCTTCCTGGCACCAACACCTGCCAATGTAATACCTCCCGATGTTCTAAACCAGAAATTAAAATAGTCTCTCTCAATCATTTGCAGCCCATAGGAGATGGAGCAGAGCCAAAAGCCTTTTGGTCAAAGAGCTTTCATCTAGGTTCAGCTGCTCAGATTACACTGAGGGGGAGATAAAGCTAAACTCAATTCTGCAGGGAATGAAGTCCAAGATCATCTCGTCTCTGATGTCCAGATCCCACCAGATTTGGGATCTTATGTTTACAAACTATCTTCTGGCCAAAATTTTCATTGCTCTGGCAGGGGAAGGGCTGTTGCAAGGATGGGAAGCCTCTCGGGTACCTGAAATGTTTGCTGTGATCCCATGAGAAATTAGGTTATTTGATGGACACAGAAATCAGTGGGAGCTGATGGAGATCCACTTGTTTTGGGATTATGTTCTCGGACTATAAATCTGTCTCTTCATTTGCCTATGACACTGCACGTGCCCAGCTGCACAGGGATTAATGAGCCACTGCAGCAAACCCCAGATGTGTCCACACTGCGTTTAGCACGTATTTCCTAATCATCATCAGTGAACTAAGTGCAATCTTGGGGGGGGGAGGGGGCATGCTTGGGAGGGCTCTTTAAAAGCTAATCATGCCTATGTGAATAGCAAATTCAATAGCTGAGGGCAAAGCAACAGCCCAGCTTGTTAGAGCCTCCGACTAAAGTGACCTTTGTAACACGGGTATTACACAAGACCTCCTGCTGTTATTTGCAAGGCAGTAGCTGCCACAAACACATATGCTGTATCTGGTGACACTTCAAACACTGTCACATGCACACTCCTCAGATACACATCAAAAAACCCAGCTCATACCACTGAGGAATTAGGATACCCCTCAGTGGGACCCCATGATTGAACACAGAGGAAATCCAACCCATGCAGAGCCAACAAAAAGCCTTGGCATTTCACAGAGTCTTCCCACGAACTGTGCATATGGGAAAAATGGTCTGCACTCATGGGAGAAACGGCACTTTTGGAATGGTATAACATCACCTGAAGCACTTTATAATGACTATACAGTGTTTAATCTCCTCTAGCGTCACAGAGATGGCCTAGTCCTGGTTGTCCTTAGCCCGTGTACTCTCCCTGTGAACTCCACTGCCATGGGAGAGGAAGCACTGGTGCCTCACAGATGTGCTAGGATTGCTCAGCGGGCAAAGGAGGATGGGGCTGCAATGGATCTGCCCGTTAGTTTTCCAGAGGGTAATCACAGGGGACGCTGAGGAGCA